GATAAGTACCAGTTCACTTCTTTCTTGTTTTTCATTTTTTTTGTGTTGTTACTAATGCTTGCTTTCTTTTTTTGTAGATCTTGTGCTTTTCCGGGAAGGGTTAATGGGGCCGGGATTGGGATCTTGAACCTGGAACTGGTATAAAGATAAGTACCAGTTCACTTTTTTTTTGTTTTTCATTTTTTTTGTGTTGTTACTAATGCTTGCTTTCTTTTTCTGTAGGTCTTGTGCTTCGCCGGGAAGGGTTAATGGAGACCGGTGGAATTCGAGTTGAAAAGAATGAATTTATTGGTTTCGTCATTTGTTGGTGTTGTTGGTGTTTCGATTTTGCTTGTGCAATCGTTAATTGTCATTCTTCGTCGTTCTTCGGTAGATTTTTTTAACACTAACATTTCTTTTTTTTAGGCGTTTCCTTGGTCATTTACTTTTCATCTTTCTTCGGTGGGTTTCTTCGATAGGTTTCTTTATCGTGTTTTTCTTTGTATTAATGTTTCTTTTTTTTAGGCATTTCTTCGTCGTTCGCTTGTTATTCTTTGGTGGGTTTCGTTGTCGTTGTTTCTTTGAGATTTTCTTCATACTAACATTTCTTTTTTTTTAGGCATTTCTTCGGTGGGTTTCTTTGTCTTTCTTCGGTAGGTTTCGTTGTCGTTGTTTCTTTGAGATTTTCTTCATACTAACGTTTCTTTTTTTAGGCATTTCTTCGATGGGTTTCGTTGTCATTCTTTAGTAGGATTTTCTTCGTACTAACATAACATTTCTTTTTTTTTAGGCGTTTACTGGAGTTCTTTTGTCATTTCTTCAGTGGGAGTATCATTTGTTGGTACTTCGGCGTTTCTTGGAGCTTTCAGTTTGTATAGCAATTGGTGAAAATAATATATTATTTGTATTATTAACAGTTGCAAAATCTGTAATATTAGATTTAATTGAATCTGTATTAATAATAGTTTCAGGTTGTATAGCAATTGGTGAAAATAATATATTATTTGTATTATTAACAGTTGCAAATCTGTAATATTAGATTCAATTGAATCTGTATTACTAATAGATTCAGTTTGTATAGCAATTGGTGAAAATGATATATTATTTGTATTACTAATAG